GGTGAAGTATATCCTAAAAAATAAAAAATGAAGTCATTCATTTTTATGAGCTTGGATCTTAGATTCAGTTTTTAATGTGGAACAAAATAATCCTAGACCAAATCTTTGTTCATGATTTTGAAATGTAATTCAAGGTTATAACTTAACTTTGGGTTTAGGCCTCTCCAAAATAGCTGGGTGGTAAGGGAAATAAATGTTCAGACTCTAAACAGGATTTTTTTTTTTTTGGCTTCAGAATGAAAAAAATTTTTTTCTAAGTGTTCAGAGGCTTGTTGTTTTTAGACTATATCAAGTACAGAGATGATTGACAGAATTTCTTCCCTCTTTCTATTACTTTAATGTTACACTTCCATGTCCCCTTTATCACCCTCCCTAAGTATCCTATTTACCTAAAGAAAATAAGTCTTCCCTATGCCAACCTCTGGGGTGCTGATGTAGGTTTAAAGAATTTTAAAACATTGTATTAATTTCTGTGGAACCTGGTTCCACATTGGTTGACAGGGTGCCAGGAATGAAAAAATAATGCTTCATGTCTAAAGGCATTTGTAGACAATTTTGTGCATCTCTGCCATGTTGTACAACCTAATGGTATATTCTCCTCTGTCTATTATGATTTATTTTCTGGCAAACTTGGGACCCAACATTTGTCATGCTTGATATTCGACTTTACACTAGAGTGTTCTCTTAATACATCTTTATGCATCTCATACATATTTGTATTCTTTCCAGCATAATTTTAAGCCCAGTAGAGTTTAGCAATAAACCTTTCCTTCTGATACCAGCACCAATATCTACAACATCTAAGCAGTTTTCAAATCATTCAAGTCATTTTTTTTTTTTTCTAAGACCTGGCTGGAGTAAAAACATGTATGCTTGGAAATTTGTACTTGCAAACACAAGTTTCTCACTTGCTTCATAACCTAACTCTGAGAAGTTGGTTGAGGGATTGCCCCCACAACACTTACTGTCTCTTTCCAGAGGGGACAATTCACCTCTATGCCTACAGGCATTTTCTGACTTCTGTTGCTAAAGAAAGCTCCACGTGCTAATACATAACAGTATTTATCTGCACAGGATTTGTGACTATAATTTTTACTAAGTATGTCTCTGAACCAAATACAGATGGACTGAGAAGTCGCTTCATTTGCAATCAAATTGCAATCTGTGTGAAGCAACTGGGCAATAGAGGAGGAGGGAATTGGAATTTAGTAAATGTTCTTACAGGGATTGATTTAAATCTCAGAAATCTTCGAAGAGGTATCACTAAGCCTGCTCTTTCCTCCACAGTATTCTATGCAGGAAACAGTATGCTGCTTACAGCACCTAGAAAGGGATGAAACCTCGTGTAAAGCTTCTTGAGTGGGCTTTTGTAGCTCAGCGTGAAAACTTGCAGAAAAACAAAACTTTAAACAATTTATTCATCAGTTTGTCATTCATAGGCAACTTCTCATCTTCAATTAGGTTTTTAGGCTATAAAGATTAAAGAAAGCTGATTGGCAGAGCCCAGTTTTTATCCTACTTTTCTAAAATTCCATCCCTTTTAGAAAATCTATTCCACTCTTGCAAACAGAAATGACCTTGCTTACGAGAAATAGCAATGAGACTCCACTGAGAGATAGGTATGTGTTAGAGCTGTCATCTGCTGCCTTTTGCAACTTTTAGACAGCCTTGTAGATAAAATTCTCAGTATGAAGTTGATCATATCCATGGATCTGTAGATTGCCCCATAGACAAAATGGATGGTTTTTTTTTTAATCTGATTTTGCACTGACGGAATCACGTCTGCCTGAGCACCAAATATTATTGTGGGTAGAGGAGAGTAGACATGGATTGTACAATGTGGCACAGATCGAAAGAGATTTGGCTCTGAAAATTATTTACTTAGATTTCTCCTGCTGCCTCCTCAACTGATATGGGCTAAAGATAAGCTTGGGCTAATCTGCTAAAATTGATCAAGAGTTTTGAAAGCCTGAAGACTACATCAGATCCCCATTCACTGGCTCTTAAATGTTTAAAATTAAATGTCTCAAAAATGCTCAGGGAGTCTAAGGAATGGACCAGAGCCTGAGGAGGTGGAGTATTGGTTGGGTTTGGTCAGGAAAACATCCAAGTTGGATGTAAGAACACGAGAAGAGAGAACTACTGTCAAGACTTGAATGATCTGCAGAAACCCAAATCCCTGTAGGTCAATATCTCAGCTTTGGCATTAAGTACAATTTTTTTTTTTCTAATGGGTTGAATGTTTCATTTTTTTCTGAAGATGTTTAGAGATGTATGGTGCCAGAGTTAAACTAAAACCTCCAGAGAGTTATAAAAATTCTACCAGCCATTATTGAATATACCATTATTCCTTCATTTAGCAGCCAGCTTTATAGACACAACTCTGCCAACCCCTAACTTTGTCAAGTGTTTTGTATTTAGCCCAACAGAGTCCTTTTACATCCATTTTCCCAATTATGTCTAGTCTGCTATTTCATTCATTTGTTGACTTTCTAATTTCATTTTAAAAATATCATTTTTATTTTTTTCCTATAAGCTCTACTTAATTCTTTTCTAGGTACATCTAATTATTTTCATAGTCTTCTGTCTCCTTGTTATAGTTGAGACACATACTTTAGTTTCTATAATTATATTAAGCATAATTATTTTAGGCTATGCATTTGATAATTCTGATATGTGTAGTGTTTCTGTTGTGGTTTTCATGTGTGTGAGCACAAATTTTATGGAACATAATTTGTGGAAAGTTTTTGAGGGGCAGTTTTAAAGTACTTTCCTCTAAAGAGAATTTTCATTTGCTTACGAAAAGTAAATATTCACTTTAAGCCAATTTTTAAGCCTTACTTCCCAGCTTCCTCAATGTGGGTAAAATATATCCTACCTAAAGCCTGGGAGTTCAGAATTATAAATTATCAGGGAAGCATTTCTACCTCCTCCTTTATTCTTCACAGAAATTTGGTTTTTGTTTTTTTCTTTTTTGAACTGAGGTCTTGCTCTGTTGCTCATATTGGCTATAAACTCATGAGTTCAAGTGATCCTCCTGCCTCAGCTTCCTGAGTAGCTGAGATTACAGGTATACACAATTTTCCTGGCTCTATCCCAAGCTGAGATGGAATAGTTAAGTTTCTTCATTATTAAAATAGCATAACCTCGGTAAAGAAAATATTCCAAATGGACAGAAAAAAGTAGAAGGAAACGTAACTATAATCTAGCAACTCTGTCAAAGTTGAATATATTTATTTTCAGTCTTATTATACGTTTAATTTTATGTTTTTCCACTGTACGTATGATTACAATGTATGTACCACTTTGAATCATGATTTTTTTTCAACTACTATTATTTTTATCTTTTAAAACACTTTTGGATGCAGTCATAATGGCTGCATAGTATTCCAGTTAATGAATATACATTCGTTTGCTCAGTAATTGACCTACTGTGAGCATTTGCACTGTTTCATAATCACATGTTCATAAAAATTTTGTAGCACTATTACATAATTCACACCATGTATCATGTTGCTCCTCACTGAACTGACCTAACAAAACCTGTTGCTAGTTCAGGCCAGAGCTGACTGTGAGATGCTCTAAGGAATTGTGTTTTGTACTGGAAAACATCCTCGAGGCCAGTGGAGAACTGACAGGGTCACTTACACAGGGGCTGGCTGTGTGCAGACTTAAGGGTATGCATTGGGCCTTGAAGGTCTTCCTTTATAAGGATTCATTTGAGGAATGCAATCTCACAGAATATAATAGGAATCCATTCTCCAGGGCAAGGGAAACACATAGCCATGCTTTCCTAAGCAAAATGTTGTCGTTCATGTAAACTTCAAAATTGCAATTTATTGGGTAGTAAAATGGAAATAAAAATAAAATGAAAGTATTTGGAAATTCCTTTTGTACCTCTAATAAATTCTACAAGTATTATGTTCTGTTATGTTCAAGGGTTATTTGCAAACTTGTGAAGGAAAGCAATACTTTAAAGAGATATTCTTTCTGTGTTAGGAATATCATTGTTGCTTTGGTGTTCATTATAAAAAGTAAGGTGTGTGATTCTTAAAAGTGTGAGGCAGATTTGGCACTGCTTCTCCTGTACATGATACATATATTTGAGGGACTAAGTTTGGAAGTAAATAGCTTTAAGAGACATACATTGTGAAAGTAAGATTAGATTGACCTTTATTTTAGGAATGTTCTATGGGTATCCTAAGTAAGCCATGGCTTTGGCTAAGTAAGGCCCCCCGAAAAACCAAAACCAAAACCAACAAAACCCAACACAACAACAAAACCCAAAACCAAAACCCTCCAAATTAAATCATTTTAGTAATTTTTTTTTTGTCAAATAAACACACACACACACACACACACACACATACACAAAGAAAATTAAATCTGTAGGGGGCAATAATTTGGTCCTGATGGGAAAAAGGAGCACAACTATGTTTTATGAAATGTCTTTGCTGTACTGACGTGGAAATGACATCATGTAGCTTTAAAAATATCCTTCCGGAGTAGTATAAACGAAAACATATTTTCCTCTTACTTCCTTCATTCTAACTGCTCTTCATTTTGTCTTTGGTCTTTTTGCTTTTATCTCCTATTTCTTTGTCCCTTCTTCTCCCCTTAACTCTATCACTTTGATCTGTCTTTCCTTACAATTTCCATTCCACTGTTCTTTAATTTGAAACTTCCTTCTTCACTTTTCTAAGTATCTTTTTTTTTCTACTGCACGTGAATCCTTCTTTCCAATCAAATAGTCACATTGATTGTGGAAAAAAAAATAAAGAAAAGAAAACTTTGTCATATGTTGCCCTCTGCCCATAGAAAACAAAAATCAGAGTCAAGTTAAAAATTTTTTTTTCATTTTAAAGAAAGTACTGCTGGTTGTCTTTGGTGTGGTTTTTAATCATAGACTATTTGTTTTTGGAGAATAAAAAAGATGACATTGCATAGTGCTGTTTGCACTTATGAATTTATATTTTTATTTAAATAGCTTTTCTCATTGAGTAAGTAAACTTACAGGTCTGACTTCTCTGTTCCCTTAAGGGAACATACCATTTAGTTTCCATCAACCATGGCTTCATGGAGGAAGGAGATGGTAACTGACATAGTCTCTTGAAAATTAAAAAAAAAAATAAAATAATGCCATATCAGGAGTGAATTTATATGTCACAAATATTTCTACTTCAGTACTCAGTTCTCATGGCAGACATCACTGTTTAACAATAGTACTCTTTCTTGCTCAACAGGGCTGTGGCTTCCTTCCTTCCAAGCATTATTCATAGTCCTTATGATTTCAGGATAATTTAACATGTGTTTGTTGAGTTAAAGTCAGTTTGCCCTCTTGCTGTAGGTTGTGTGATTGATGGCCTTCCATCTCGAAGTTGCTAGGATGCATGACCTCTGGGATAAGCATTAGAAACTGTAGGCCCAATTCTCTAGCATCTGGGCACAGGAACTGACTTCTTTAGCAGGACTCTTAAAGTGCAAGAAATAAAATAAAAGATCAATAAGTGGAATGCATCAAATTTAAAAGCTCTGCACAACAAAGGAAACAATCAAGAGCATGAAGAGAAAACCTACAGAATGGGCAAAAAATATTTGCTACCTGCACCTCAGATAGGGCATTACATACTTCTCAAAAGAAGAAATACAGTCAACAAATACAACATCTGTAGCTAGGGAAATGCAAATCAAAACTACCCTGAGATTTCATCTCACTCCAGTCAGGTTGGCAACTATCAAGAATACAAATAGTAATAAATTTGGTGAAGATGTGAGGAAAAGGGTACACTCGTACACTGTTTGGGGGGCTGCATATTAATCCAACCACTCAAAAATCTAGGAATGGAACAACCATATGACTCAGCTACCTCAGTCCTCTGCATATATCCAAAAGATTTAAAATCAGCATACTACAGTAACACAGCCACCTCAGTGTTTATAGCAGCACAATTCACAATTGGCGAACTATGGAGCCAACCTAGGTGCCCTTCATCAGATGAATGGATAAAGAAAACGCATTAAATACACACCTTAGAATATTTCTCAGCCATAAAGAAGAAATTATGGCATTTGCCTGTACAGGGATGAAACTGGAGACTATCATACTAAATGAAATAAACCAGTCCCAAAAAACCAGAGGCTAAATGCTTTCTCTGATATGTTGAAGTTAATTCAAAACAAAGAGGAAGAGATTGGGAAAAAAATTATAAAGAGAAAGAAAAAAAAACAGGAGAGAGAATTTCATCAAAATAGAGGAAATATCAGTACAGAATATGAATGGGATTGAGAAGGAGGAAGAAGGGATTGGAAAAGGGAAAAAAAAGTGGAATGAATCTGACTATGCATGCCTGGTTGTGGCACCGTGGGTCCTAGCACCGGGTGTATCTACAGGATACTAACTAAAAAAAAAAAAAAAAAAAAAGTGAGCTATAAAAGGGTTGAAGAGGGATGGATGGTGTAGAAGGAGGCGAGCAGGGTGGGGAGAAGTACTGGGGACTGAATTGGAGTAAGTTGGTTCCATGAATTTGTGTTTATGTCAGGGTGTATTCTCATGTTGCATATAACTAAAAAGAATTTTTTTAAAAAAAACATTGAATGTCATAGCTATTACAGTTTTAGATTTTTATAATATAAAACTTGAGCTGGGCATGATGGTGCATGCCTGAAATCCCACTACATGGGAGATTGGGGCAGGTGGATTGTAAGTTTGAGGTCAGTTTCAGCCACTTAGTGAGACTCTATCTCAAAATTGTAAAAAAGGAGTCAGGGGATAAAAAAAGATTGAGGTAAAGCACCACTGGGTCCAATCACCAGTATGAAATAAAATAAAATGAAATAAAATAATTGTATGAAATAAAATAATTGTATGAAATAAAATAATTGTATGAAATAAAATAAAATAATTGTATGAAATAAAATAAAATAAAATAAAATAATTGTGTGGGAAGGGACTATGCAACTCAGAAGGATTTTAGTAATTCATTCAGGTCACACAGCTGGTAATGGGGATTATTCAGAATTACAAATGGCAAAATCAGTATTCTGTTCTCTATGCTACAGTTGCTTTAAGAGCTAACTACAAATGTGCACTTCAGAGATCTCCTAAAGAAATTTCTAGCAAATGATAGGAAATGATTGCATATATATTGGGAGACATTCTTGTCGAAAGGTCGCATTCTGGTGATATTAAATGTTAGGTTGAATGTAAACAAAACAAGCCACCATCTATTTGGGGCAGATAAGAAATGCCCAGAAAGGAATCTACTATTCCCCTGAAACTTCATCTTCCATCAACATGTGCTCCATCACACAGACAACAGCTCACTGCTGCAATGCCTGGAATCTCACATAGATACAATATAAACATTAATATAAATTAGTATTAGTTATGTGTTATAAATTAATAAACATATTCAATTATATACTCTATATATTGATTTGGGGTCTCTTTTAGGTGTATATGTACAAAAGCTGGTCACCATCTAGGAACTAATTTGCAGCACTTAATGGAAGTGGGTGTATCAAGTCATTTATTGTACATTGGGAATCTATAACAGTGCCTTAAGGGAAGGGAAGAATCAGAAAAGTGACAGCATTTTAAAGCTAGGAGGGTTATTGAAGAGGACAGTCTTAGATGTTAGTGATTCCAAAATGTCATTATAATGCATCTAAGAGAAATATAGAGCTTTTCAGTTTTTAAAGGAGGTAAGTCCCGCAGCAGCCTAGGGAAGATTCTCCACTAAGATCCTTTCTTCCATGTTCCCACCTCCTCCTGCCTTTTCATATCATATTGACAGAAAAATTGTTTTCCTCAAACAATTGGGTAGAGACTTTGCACACTAGCATTTAAAAGATGAGGTGTATATCCTTTCAAATATATTAACAAGTTTTATAAATTGGAGAAAAATAATAACATTCACTCAGTTATTTTCTTAAATGAGCTGAAAAATATGAACATGAAATGGAATCAGTACAGTGCAGATTGCCAATTTGGGCTTCACTTTAATTCACTGTTATTTTACCTGAATTATAAAAAGTACTTTTCTGCTCCATTGTGACACATTAACAATGACAAAACAATATTGTGATAGTTTAGATGTGAGGTGTCCCCCAAAAGCTCATGTGTGAGACAATGCAAGAAGACTTAGAGGTGAAATGATTGGGTTCTGAGAGCCCTAACACCCATTGTACCAATGGGTGAATTAGTCTCCTGAGAAGGATTAGCTGAGTGGTCGTGTAGGATTTTAGGGTGTGCCTTTTCGAGTATATATTTTATTGTTGTTGAGCAGGGCTCTCTCTCTAACTTCCTCGTGTGATGTCCTGAGCCACTTCCCTCTGCTACTCTTCTGCCATAATGTTCTGCCTCACTTTCAACCCCAAAGAATGTTGCCAGCTGTCCTCCGAAGACCTCTGAAACCAGGAGCCCCAAAATAAACTCTTCCTGCTCTAAAATTGTTCTTATAAGGTCTTTTATTCACAGAAGCAAAAAAGTTGACTAAAACAAACAAACAAACAAAAAAACAAAAACAAATGTCTTAGGATACATGTCGTATTTCAAGAGGCACCCCATTATGCTTCATATTACAACACACCTCCTTTCTCATCCTATTTTTCTTAATGCAAGCTCTGGCTGGGAGGGAAGCACCTTACGCCCTGGAGGCAGCACTATGATCTACCACCTGATCCTCTTAAAGCACTAGGCAGAATTCTGAGTGTTTGTTGGGTCATTTGAGTGGTTATTTGATTCTGCAATTGTGCCTGGAACTTGTTTCAAAATTTTTGTCTTGAGTCTAACAGTGCCAAATACTATGTACACCCTACTTATATGTTGATGACTCAATATCATTTCTATATAATTTTGATTAATACTTTACCCAAAAATTATTTGTACAAATGGGTTGTTTAAAAATCAGTGATGTGAAAATTTGGGTTCTCTCTGCGTCTTCTTCTACTCAAAATCAAGAAAGTTGAAAAAAAATAATATCTTCATTATTCATCATCTTTAAAGAGATGGAAACTAAAATTTAAGTTTAGAATACTGGATAATTCTTTTCTCCAGGGTGACTTATTAAGGAAGAGAGAATATAAGTAGGTTAAAAAATGACATGAGTGTTGTAAAATTTTTAAAAAATATCTATTTTTTTAGTTTTCAGTGGACACAACATCTTTGTTTTTGTATATGGTGCTGAGGATCGAAGCTGGGCCATATGAATGCCAGGTGAGCGTGCTACCACTTGAGTCACATCCCCAGCCCAGAGTGTTGTAAATTTATGAAAATTAATATTATCCAATAACTGTCATATATTTTGAGAGCTTGTTTTAGTCACTCCTGTAACTTTTCAAATTAAGAATAATATTTATGTTTATCAATATGAATATTAGAATTCAATATGCTCTTGAAAATAAATAATTACTAGGCTTTCCCAGATCTGGAAATATTAATGCAGGAACTAAATCCAAAGCTTTGGTATTCTCATGAGTCCATCTAAGTCTTTCATTTCTGGGAGAATGAACAATATCATGTGACAGGCTGTAAATGAGCAAATGTTTGTTGTGTCCTTTAACGTCCCGAGCTGGGGAGTTGGCATATATTCCTCAGAATCAGAAATAGCATCATCTCTCCCACAGAGAGCCGAGTCAAAGAAGCTGAGCAAAGACAAGTCAATATGCAACTTTCACAGGTAATTAGAGAGGAGAAAAACCATGTTTTGGGCAGCAAAGAGGTCAGTGAATGTTTCTTTTATTGAACAGATTAGCTTTTCTCTGCTTTCCAGATCTCTTTGGAAGAAAACCCATACCCGAGCCACAGCTGCTTGACTCTCCTTGTCTTCTTGATCGGTTTGAGAGCCTGTATCCTTGCTTTCAAGGCTCTGTAGTTTTCTATTCTTATCGGCCATGTGGAGGATCTGTATAGCAGATGTACTTCTGGTCTAAATCCATGAGCCTGGAATTATTTTACCCCTCTGCTTCCTGTTTTCTCCCACCCCACAGTAAGTCATCCTTCTCCATTCCCTTTCCTGTAAGAACTCTTTTTGGAAAATGAGCCACATTTGACCATGACACATTAGGAATGGTGGGAGAATCAGGGACAGAACACGTCCCTGCAACCTTCAGTGCTTCTCCCCCCTGCTGCCCGTAGGGCCACCTACTTCTTTGCTCTTTGAAATGAACCAATCAAAAAAATATCCTTTCACAGTGAAACAAACAAACAAACAAACAAAAAGAGAAGGTCCTTGAGAGGCTAAGCGGCATACAAGACATGTAAGAACAGAATCCATAACTGGTCTGTTTAAGCAGAGCCTGCTGGGACCTACCTGCCCCCTCTGAGCCCACCAGGCGCTTCCAGCAGAAGAGGCGTGAGCTGAAAGGTGCCTCCATTGCTCCTCAATGGAGGATCAATTGAGAAAGAATATCCCCCCCATTCCTGGTCCTGCCCCACTAGCAGTCTCCCATCCCTTTGCTCATAGTCCCAAAAAACCCAATATTTTAGTATTTTTCTGTAGGACATAAAATAAAGAGTCTGCTAAAAACTTTAGAATTTGTGGGAACAAAGGTGCTCTCGGTTGGCCAGATAAACTTTTCACTTGCTGGAAAACGATCTGACTCTTAATTTCACTCTCACAGGGTGGCTGTTGCCACTATCTGCCGGGTGCGCTGGAAAACCTAATTAGACACACAGGGGTGAACATTTTACGTTCAGCCGAGGGAATATTCCTTCTGGATAAATCACTGTGGGGCCCTGAAAAATAATGGTGGCTGACTGGTTTGATTTTAAAAGAACTGAAAGCCCGCAGATTGTTTGGCTTTGGTTGATACTTTAACACAGGATACAATCTCCTAGATATATAGTTGGGAAATTTTCTTTCTTTCTTTCTTTCTTCCTTTCTTCCTTTCTTTCCTTCCTTTCCTTCCTTTCCTTCCTTTCCTTCCTTTCCTTCCT